TATTGGACTATCGGACATTACAAGGAACTTGTATTCTTGAACTAATATTGACTTTCAGGTTCTCTTTCTGTGGGGGTTTTCTTTCAGAATCCTACAAGGAAACCAGATTAAGTCCATCATAAAGAAAGCATTCTCTGGCCTGGAAGCACTTGAACATCTGTAAGTATTTTGCCTTGCAGTTCTTGCAGCTTCCTCTTTATCAATGTCAGATTTCTCTCTCCTTCAAGCATCCAAGTCTTGTAACTGTTTAGAGTAGCATATGAAATGCAGTGCTCTGTGTGACATTCTGCTTAATTTACAGAGATTTGAACAACAACGCAATCATGTCTGTCCAAGAAGATGCTTTTTCTCAGACTCGCCTCAAAGATCTGTAAGTATATGTTTGTATATTTGTGGCATACTGCCCCATATCAAATCCCCTACAGCTTGCCTTTGATTCTGCTGGATCGCAGTTCTGTGGCAAAAAATCAGTAAAAAACAGCTTTGTAAAAATCAGCTGGATGCTGTGGGCTTTTTGTTCTGCTGGTATCCAGGGTCTGCTATAAAATTGGTATCTTCATTTTCTGAACGTAAATGCTGTAGAGTATCTCTTCTTCCTTGCAGCATTGGGCACATTTTTTCCTATGTTTATGCTGTCTTGTTTAGGAATAGTTTGAGAGACATCTTGAATAGGTGTTGGTGTTAAAAGCAATGTTCTAATCAATAAAGCTGTGGGTAGCTGTTCTTATCTTGGCTCTGGATTTTGTTGGGGGTTTTCTGTCTCCCCTCTCCCTCTCTGTTTTGGCTTTGCAGCTCTGGGCTGTGTCTGTCCCAGTTTGATAGCCCTGTGTGATGGCATGTGACCAGGCTGCAAATCGGCCAGTTCAGCAGAGTTTTTGGCATGCTCTTTCCAGTTGCTGTGAAAGGTGCATTAACATTTTAAAGTGGAGAACGTTGTGCCTGAAAATGTCTTCTAACAGGAAGAAGTTACAAAAAGTTAAACCCAGGTTTAAATGTTTGCTGTGCATGACTTCATTACTGTTCTATCTTGGAGCAGACTTTATATCCCTTGATGATCCACCAAGCGGATGGTGCCATTATGGTTACTTATGTGGATGTTAGCACTACTCCCCTCATTATTACAAAATTCAGCTCTGCACATGGCCCCTCTGAGGTTAGATGATAGAACTGTGTATTTGTCTACCCAAAGGTACTAACTAAGGCACATATAAGGCCAATTTTTTCATAATTAAGATAACATTTGTTCAAACCAAAGCCTCAGTTCTTACTTTGTTGTATATCGTAGTTCATGGTGTATAGGTCAACATGGTGTAGAATTCAACCCCGTTTTTCTGATCCAAAAAGTTAGGAATTTTGTAGATGTGGTGTATAAGTTGACTTAACTTTTTGGATCAGAAATAAGAGATCAACTTATACCAGCCTCTGTGGTCCAGGCACCTGGGGGTAACGTCTCTCAGCTGGTGCAGCCCTGTCCCCTGCAAGCGGCGCTGTCTCGGTCGCACCAGTCAAGTGCAGAGCCCAGCCCCATCCGCTGCAGGTGGCACTGCCAAGCCTGGTGCCGCTCACAAGGGACAGGGCTAGGCTCAGTGCTTGGCAGTGCCGTTCACAGTGGACAGGGCCAGGCTCAGCGCTTGGCTAGCACATCCCCACCCCCTGTGAGCAGTGCTGCCTGGGCTGTGCCAGCCAAACACTGAGCCCAGTGCTGCTCTTAGAAGTTGGTGATGTGATATATAAGTCGAGGTTGAATTTTAAGAGTTAAAAATTGGGCTTCAAAACTAAACTTATATGCTGTGAAATACAGTAAAAAGTTCAAAATAAATTGGAATGCAGCCAGCAAGCAAGAAAATGTTCCATCAGGAGCCTTTCCAGGGCACTTGACAGCCATCATGTTTTGCTTTCCCTTTAGGGGGAAAAAGCCTTTTTATAACCTTTGCAGTGGTACAGAGATTTTTTGTTGTTGTTACTCAGATATGCTGCCCAAATCGCATGTGATCTTCAAACATGTAAACCATTGTAATGCTAAGTGACCTACACACCCCAAGCTAGCCTGAGCATAACTCATAGCCTTCTTACAAGCAAATATCTTTTAATCTGTTTTTAAATCCTATTAATTCTGGCCAGATTACCAGATAAAAATGAGGCCAATAATTGTGAGGGGGAAGGTGAGAAGACCATGTTATAGACATCAGGCACTTTCTATTGTGAGGTCTTCTAGACTGCCTCATGTTTATAAGATGGTGGATGACAGTAAATAGCTCTCAAGTAGCTGAAAGAAATCCCTTGTGCTGTGAATTGCACCTTTTCAGTCTGTTACTGAAGAACGTCGGCTTGTGTTAGTGGTAGACCGCTCCTTTCTGAAAGATTAATCTTTTCAGCACCAGAGTCACAGTTCCTGGTGAGACACCTGCTAAAAGCAGTAGAAACTTTTGACTGAAGATACTGTTGCTTGACAGGTGCACCCCAGATACCTGGAAGTGACTATATGCTAGTAACATCTGGCAGCTTTAGGTCACTGCAAATGGAGGAGGGGCATTCAATTAAGAAAAGAATAACTTCTCTTTTTCCTTGTTTTTGCAGGATGTTGAACACCAGCAGCTTACTCTGTGACTGCCAGTTGAAGTGGCTGCCTCAATGGCTCAGTGACAGTCATTTGGAGCAGGCTGTTAACGTTAGTTGTGCTCACCCTGAGTGGTTAGCTGGGCACAGCGTTCTCAATGTGGACCCTGAAGATTTTGTCTGTGGTTCGTATTGTTTATTTCTTTCACTTAAGGACACTGCAATGCCTAAATAGATGTATGCTTCTTTGGAAGCCAGTCTCTGCCGTCTAATTAAGATACCCTAGGTCTTGGCAGCAGAAAAAGTAATTGCGTCTGTGTGATCCATAGCCTGCCACTGGCTTTTTGCTCTAGAGCTGTCTTTTTTGAAGCATGTTTTTTTTTCTATGCTCCCTGGATTCTGGAGCAGTTGAGTGCTGAAGAATGTTACTGAAAGAGGAAATCCTGAAGCAGTTTCAAATAAATGTTCAGTGCCTTGGGTTTTCTGCATTGTAGAAGCTGTTGGGCGCTGGAGTGTTGGTTTTCTCAGTACCCGAGAAGCAAGGCCCTTAAGTTTTGGTGCATAAGATGATGAGGTCTCCATGGCGGAGAAAATCCTGTTGTGCTTACCTAGCCTTCATCACCACAGGTTTGGAATGTGGCAAACTGCAACACGTTATCCTCACATTTAGACTGGGAAGTAGGGCAGTGAGATTCCCAATCTGTGAAGCAGGGGTAGCTGATGTGCAAAGACTGTGCAACTTGACCAGGGCCGCACAGAGAGTAGATGGCTGACCTGAGTGTCCTGATTTCCAGGTTTGCGCTCTAACCAATTGACTGTTCTTCTCCATCTGTGCTTCTCTTTCCTATGGAAGAAGAGAACTACGATCTTGGGAGAAGCTGAAGCATTCGGTTCCCTGCCCGTCCTCCCAGTTTTATTCAGTGCTGTGGCCTATATCAGTGTGTTTGTTAAAACAAATGGCAGTAAAACAGCTATATGTTAATGGCAGGAAGTGAGGGGATTCAGGTCACTAAGGCATACTGCAACTGTTTGGGTTTTCTCTAAAGTATTTCTTTCAGTTGCTTTTCAGGCACCAAGCACAATTAATTTTGTTATTCTTGAGGATATGCTTTTGCCTTAAAATCTGCCTCTTTAAAACAGAAATACGTAGCACAATTTAGCATTGGTGTGCAGAATCTGCAGCAAATTCCAGATGGCAGAGGCAAATGCAATGCCCCACAAAAGAGCTTGCTGTGGTGTTCACCTCCTCTTACTGTCTACAACCACCTGTTGTCATCATCCTGTTTCACAGCTTCCTTTTTCCTATAGACACCTGACTTGAAGCTGAAGGTAATTTAATGTGGAGAACAGACGGTGAGGATGGATCTGTCATCTGCAGCATAAAACGGCACTATTCCTTCATAAAATACTATTCCTCTTAACATTTGTTCAGAAAGATCAGCTGCGTGTGGAAGGGGGAACTTGATTAATCTTTCTGCCCTCATTTTTTGCAGATGACTTTCCCAAACCACAGATAAGAGTACATCCTGAGACCACAATTGCTCTACGAGGCATGAATGTGACTCTGACATGCACTGCTGTCAGCAGCAGCGATTCACCAATGTCCACGGCCTGGCGTAAGGACAGTGAAGTACTGTACGATGCAGAGATTGAGAATTTTGCCAGGTATCGACAGCAAGGAGGCGAGGTCCTTGAATACAGCACCGTTCTACACCTTTTCAACGTGAATTTCACCGATGAAGGGAAATATCAGTGCATTGTCACCAACCATTTTGGTTCTAACTATTCCAACAAAGCCAAGCTGACTGTCAACGGTAAGCAGTTACACCAACAAAAGACATTGCTTTTAACCAAGAGTTGTTGTTAAGCTAGCAAGAAAAATGCTTTAAAAGTTAGTTGTGACAGATGAAAGCTTGCTTCTCGCCTCTTCCCCTGTAATTGTGCCAGGCTAGCTTCAGGTTCTATAAAGATCCCATTAGGGATCCATTGAGATCCATGGAAGAACCCCAGCTGGAGCAGGTAAAGAAGATACTGAGAATGATGACAAACGTAATCCTTCCTCAGTGGAAAGCTCCCTCTGTTAGTTTGTGTGAGTGTGTGGATGGGCCCCACTCTCTGTCACAGAGCTGAGGGAGACCCAACTAGTGACTTAAACTGCAGTAATAGGCTAAAATATAAATGCCATGCTATTTTAGACTTCCCGTTTTCTTGTTCTGGAAAAAAGCAGAGGAAAAACCCATGTTAAACCAGGCCCTTGGAGATACTGGGTAAGTGCAGCAGCAGGGTCTTTCAAGAGCAGCAACCCCTTTTCTCAGGAGGTGTCTGTATTTCCAGCTTTGCTTGAAAGGCAAAGACTGCCTTGCAGGTGGTGAGCCTGTACCAGAGCCATAGAGGAAACTGGTGTTTGCCAGTAAGACATGCATTCACTTCTCCCTTCACTGGGGAAGGGTAAGAATGAGTCAGCAATGTAGCACAGTTGCAAAAAAACAAAAACAAAAAGCAAATGCAGTTTTGGGCAGTGTTAACGGAGACGTCATATGTAAGATACAGGAGGTGACGGCATTACTCTACTCGGTGGTGGA